CAGTCCGACTGTACCAAACGAGTGAGAGTATACGTGTATTTACAACAATGCACTTGTATGTTGTCAGCACCAAGCGTACCAGATGATACATATATATCATCATGGTATATACACCAATATACTTTTATGTATAATAATACACTTGTATGTACATCATTTCAAATTCTGATGCATTCGGATAAAAGATGGGCGTTTATGAAAAAAAGTCTACTGTTGAGCTATCCCCGTGATTAATATGCACATACATACATGCAATGGATAACTGCTTAAAGAGATGTATGACATTATAGTTAGTGAAGTTGATATGTACTGTGGAACAATGGAATTTATTAGCGAAGTCATTATGTACTGAGCTGCAATGGTATTTATGAGATGGCCTTGGATGATAATCTTCAGAACTCATCATTTCAACAGAGGCAACCCAGAAAATATATATATGTGTGTGTGATCAGCAAGACCATATAATCAGGAGTGGATTTATGAATATCACATTAAACACTCGTGTACTTAATTTCTACGTGTATTGTTTTCCATTCTCTTTAAGTTGTTTTGAAATGAGAACCAATAAATGGACGATTATTTGGAAATCTAAAAGTCAATGGATAAAAAAAAGGTTTTTGGCTAATTACAAGCAAGGAAATTTATACACTTTTACAATTTATGGCTTAAAACATTATCAAACAAGGCCGCCATGGGTAATGAGGGTTGCTGTCGTCTTAAGTAATAAGGGTTCCTGTCTTACATAAAGAATTCTGGGATAGTATTTGCACATAGTTGGTTAAAAGAATACCATAGTACACTACAGATTATAACAAAATTGTCGATGTTAATTATTGATGTTTTGTATTTTTAAGACTAAAATGCTAACTGTGTATTTTTAAGACTACAATGCTAACTGTGTATTTGAGGGACTTTTTCTCATGAAGGATGCATCTCTATATAGGCAATACCAAGGTCTTCATATTACTTATTAAATTAATTGGTTTTAAAGCTTCTCATGGGAAAAGGCGTTTCTGCTTATTTTGGGACGACGTTTGAAATATATGAGACATGGATGTTAACAACGTAAATGTGGCCTATTACAATGTATGGCTGTTTAAATGTAACATGACCACCCTGTGACGTAAATGATCATATCAATATATTCCTGTAGGTGTAATAGGGTATGTAAACATATTCTTGATGATATTTGTAAACAATGTTGAATTTATGGATGCAATCAATTTGCACCGTTTACCTATACCTTTCGAGAACATACGGAAATCAGTAATCAATGCATGCCAATGCAGTTTTGACATGATAACAGGACTTGGTTAAATGGTAGTCCAGATAGATGTTGGTCAATTTTGGGAACTTTTAGTTTTATATTTAGTATACTTATACTTTTGTGGTCATTTTTTTATGTAATGTGTCGTTTTCTGCTAATGTACAGTTTTTTTAGTGAAGTCGTTTTAATAGTTATGTTGTGTTCTGATGGTACAGTTTCCCTTGGTTAAGTAGTTTTTAACATTTCGACTGTTCTCTGTTGTATTCAGTGTTTTTATATTTAAAATCGTTTTTAACGGCTATATATATTTTGCTTCTTCGGTGTTTAGTCTCTCTTACTGAATTCGTTTTCTTTTGCGATGTTAGTGTATCCGAGTAGTCTTTCTCGTTACAGCTGAGCCGTAATTTGGAAGATACTAGTATGTGTTTTATTTGCCGCTGAGCCGCAGTTTGGAAGACATGTGTTTTATTTTCCGCTGAGTCGCACTATGGTAGACATGTGTTTTATTTGCCGCTGAGCCGCAGTTTGGAAGACATGTGTTTTATTTTCCGCTCGGTCGCACTATAGTAGACATGTGTTTTATTTGCAGTTGAGTCGTACTTCTGTGGTACAGGTGGTTTTTGTTTTGCCACTGTGCATTCTCTGTCCTTTTGACGGAATCACCATAGACATACAAAAAAGAGAGAGACGATAGTGGCTCCATATTCATTGATCAGTTCGTACAATCATAGAGACAAATAACATGGAGCATAAAACATATATATATACAGACTAAAACATGATCACATATTTGTTATGCAGTGACACATTAAATATTTATCATAATATCATCCGTCGGTTTAAAGAGATTTACAAATATTTTATTGATAACTTTAAATGTCCTGTAAACAGAGACCAATTTCCATGCATTGAATTGACTATCTCACATAATAAATTATTCAACGTGTCTGTTCTAGTATTCCCACTGCATGTGGAACTTGAATGAAACTCTGTATAGCTGATACGTTCGTTAACTGGAGCGTGTATTAAAAAAGAAACAAAAGACCACAAAACACAATAAAAAACAAAGTACATAAAAAAAGGAGATTTCTCTAATGGTGATTAAAGACGGTGCAAATGTTCGAATGTTCTTTCTTTCTATAAAAAAAAATAACAACTTATATAGATATTTCTTCTATAAAGCAAGAGCAAATGATAAAAAAATAATCTCTCTTATTCTTCGCTATGGTTCATATATATAAATTGTCCCCTCAATCGACATTTCTTGGGGTCTGTAACAGAACACGAGTAAAATAGATGCAATTCATAAAACAAACAATCACGTTAAACGCTATCAGCAAAAATATATGATTATTAAAAAACAGTATTCGTTTTAAAAAAGAAGATTTGATGAAAACTACAAAAAGCTTTCAACACAATAAACATCTTTATATAAAAAAGACAGATGTCAATATAGGTCAACATATGTAGTGATATATTACTGAACTAATGCTAAATCTGCTTCAAACAGACAGTCTTTTTTAAAGATAAGTCCAAGACATTTCTTAAGTCTAATTATTTGTGGAATTCAAAATAAATAATTATAACTTCTTAGTTAGAGATTATTGTTCATGTTTAGCATATTTTATAACACAATTTAATTTTAAGTAATAAATAAACATTATTATTAACCTTAGTTATAAGTATTTGTGGGGGTATTTGTATTTATATTTAACCTTTTCACTTTCTATGGATAGATGGTATGCTCGGATGAACTGTTTCAATTTAAAAATTTAAAAATAGGTTATTGTGATGTAATACGTATAATCCGAAGAACACGGCGTGTTTGTTCCTGTGATACAGTCTAAAACTATATTTCCTTCCCATTGACATCATCAAGTCACGTTCTATTATCACGAAATACGCATTTTACCTACTTATAAATATAAGACTTTGCTTTCGGACGTTCTGAATTTTCCATTAGTTATCAAAACCAAAGAAAAAAACACGTTTAGAATAATACATTTGTGGTTTTTATGCGGTTTCAAAAACTCTCTAGATCTCTATTATTTATTTCAGAAAACGATTGAAATAGGTACCAGCTCTTCGTTTTTAATGCGTATTAAATACTATAGTACTACATAGTATGACTAGTGATCTTACATTAAACGTCTTTTCACATTACATGTACTATATATGACTGATGTGGTGTTATTGGTAGGATACTCAAGCCAGCCGACCTATACTTTTGTATACCCCCTGTTTATATATCCAGGTTTGTCTCGTCCTTTGAGTTCGCACGGTTTGTTTTATCTTGTTTATATTGACAGGAATCGTCAGATATAGTAAACAATTTGTTTAATGTTCACACCGTCTTCATAATGGAATATAGATAAATTATTTGAATAAAAGATTTTGAGCATTCCATATATTGACATAGGTTAAATGGTTATTTTATATCGTCATAGATTAAACACATTAAAAAATTTTCCATTGAAGTTTTTCTGTCCACACTTATCATCAATAAGTGTAATATGGTAGAAAAATGTTTCGAACGAAAAGCAGAAATGTCCCTAGAGAATGTCATTCATCGGAACATCCCTTGCAATTTTTGTCGAGCCTGCGACTTTTGTCGCAGAAAGCTCGACATAGGGATAGCGATCCGGCGGCGGCGGCGGCGGCGGCTACGGCGGCGGCGGCGGCGGCGTTAGCTAACTTCTTAAAAGCTTTATATTTTAGAAGATGGAAGACCTGGATGCTTCATACTTTGTATATGGATGCCTCATGTTACGAAGTTTCCGTCAGTCACATGTCCAATGTCCTTGACCTCATTTTCATGGTTCAGTGACTACTTGAAAAAAAAGTTCAGATTTTTTGTAATGTTAAATTCTCTCTTATTATAAGTAATAGGATAACTATATTTGGTATGTGCGTACCTTGCAAGGTCCTCATGCCCGTCAGACAGTTTTCACTTGACCTCGACCTCATTTCATGGATCAGTGAACAAGGTTAAGTTTTCGTGGTCAAGTCCATATCTCAGATACTATAAGCAATAGGTCTAGTATATTCGGTGTATGGAAGGACTGTAAGGTGTACATGTCCAACTGGCAGGTGTCATCTGACCTTGACCTCATTTTCATGGTTCAGTGGTTATAGTTAAGTTTTTGTGTTTTGGTCTGTTTTTCTTATACTGTATGCAATAGGTCTACTATATTTGGTGTATGGAATGATTGTAAGGTGTACATGTCTAGCTGGCAGGTGTCATCTGACCTTGACCTCATTTTCATGGTTCAGTGGTCAAAGTTAAGTTTTTGAGTTTTGGTCTTTTTTTCTAATACTGCATGCAATAGGTCAGCTATATTTGGTGTATGGAATGATTGTAAGGTGTACATGTCTAGCTGGCAGGTGTCATCTTACCTTGACCTCATTTTCATGGTTCAGTGGTCAAAGTTAAGTTTTTGAGTTTTGGTCTTTTTTTCTAATACTATATGCAATAGTTCAACTATATTTGGTGTATGGAAATATTTTATGATCTATATGTCAGTCACGCAGGTTTTATTTGACCTTGACCTCATTTTCAAGGTTCATTGCTCAGTGTTAAGTTTTTGTGTTTTCGTCTGTTTTTCTTAAACTATAAGCAATAGGTCAACTATATTTGTTGTATGGAAGAATTGTTAGCTGTACATGCCTGCCTAGCATGGTTCATCTGACCTTGACCTCATTTTCATGGTTCATTGGTCAATGTTTAGTTTACTTGGTTAATGTTAAGTTTATGTGACAGTTGTAATAAAGCTTTATATTTAGGACTATCAACATAATATCAATGATTAGTAAAGAAGGCGAGACATTTCAGCGTGTGCACTCTTGTTATCAGTTTGTTTAGCTAGTCTTTATCCCTCTCGCTTTAACTGCTTTACCTTATAATCACCGAACCTCGAGCGCCAGTTTTTTGTCGAGCCTGCGACTTTTGTCGCAGAAAGCTCGACATAGGGATATGAAGCGGCGTTAACTAACTTCTTAAAAGCTTTATATTTTAGAAGGTGGAAGATCTGGATGCTTCATACTTTGTATATGGATGCCTCATGTTACGAAGTTTCCGTCAGTCACATGTCTAATGTCCTTGACCTCATTTTCATGGTTCAGTGACTACTTGAAAAAAAGTTAAGATTTTTTGTAATGTTAAATTCTCTCTTATTATAAGTAATAGGATAACTATATTTGGTATGTGCGTACCTTGCAAGGTCCTCATGCCCGTCAGACAGTTTTCACTTGACCTCGACCTCATTTCATGGATCAGTGAACAAGGTTAAGTTTTGGTGGTCAAGTCCATATCTCAGATACTATAAGCAATAGGTCTAGTATATTTGGTGTATGGAAGGACTGTAAGGTGTACATGTCCAACTGGCAGGTGTCATCTGACCTTGACCTCATTTTCATGGTTCAGTGGTCAAAGTTAAGTTTTTAAGTTTTGGTCTGTTTTTCTAATACTATATGCAATAGTTCAACTATATTTGGTGTATGGAAATATTTTATGATCTATATGTCAGTCACGCAGGTTTTATTTGACCTTGACCTCATTTTCAAGGTTCATTTCTCAGTGTTAAGTTTTTGTGTTTTGGTCTGTTTTTCTCAAACTATAAGCAATGATCAACTATATTTGTTGTATGAAAGAATTGTTAGCTGTACATGCCTGCCTAGCATGGTTCATCTGACCTTGACCTCATTTTCATGGTTCATTGGTCAATGTTTATGTTTACTTGGTTAATGTTAAGTTTATGTGACAGTTGTTATAAAGCTTTATATTTGAGACTATCAACATAATATCAATGATTAGTAAAGAAGGCGAGACATTTCAGCGTGTGCACTCTTGTCTTTACCCTGTTTTTGTTTATTTTGGGTACTGTTTAAATGCAATGTTACAAAATCTACTTGTAAAGAAGATGTGGTATGATTGTCAATGAGACAGTTCTCAACCAGAAACCAAATAACGTACAAGTTTACATGGTTTTTTTTAACCTTGCCTTGAAAGTTATATCTTAAACCGAAACGAATTCATTCATATCTGAAAGACAATGTATATATATATATATGAAATTACACCAAATATAATTTTAGCTAAGATAGTCCTTCCTTTAACATGTTTGGATAAATACTCATAATTTGTCAAAATCTCTCAAAATTTTATGTTCGAGCTATCTGTAGGTAATAATGTGTTAAGACATGCTGTTATCTTAAAATAGACCTCCAAGTACACATATGAAGCTGTATACTATTGTGAATTCTGCTGGTGGTAAATTTTTTCAGTGTAAATTTGGCCCTATTTTTCTTTTCGTTCTTCTCCAAATATGCATGGATATTAAAGTAAAAACTTTATGTATAGATTCCGGATTCCGGATTGTTAAGGAATTGTTTTTTGTTTTTTTTGTTTTTTGGTTTTTGTTTTTTGCATTTTTAAAAAACGCGTTAAATTGCATCTGAATATCAAAAAAAATGTATATACATAAAAATATATATATACATCTTTTATACTACCAGAGATACAGTTAATTAAATATTTATGAAATAGGTGAAAATGTAAAGAATGTACGTAAATAGCGGCGAAATTTTTTTTTCACTTAAAAATTCGTAAGTTTCGCCCGATTACGTGTTCTTTGTATCTTAAAGTAAACAAATTTACACAAGTATAGAAAAGCAAATATGATTTTCTTATTGAGTATGGAGTAAGCTTCATGAGGCTCAGGAAAAAAGTTTGACCTTAGTGATCTGATTCTCTCTGTAATGTACACAATTTGACAGATAAAATCTACAAGAACAAGAAATACATACTCAGTTCGTACTCAGAGTCTCAACGTACTGTTTATTATATATATATATATATATATATATATATATATATATATATATATATATATATATATAATTAACGAGTTTCTGTGATTATCGTTCCTTAATTTACTGTTTCAACGTGCTGTCCCGGTACAGTAACTCACATGAACTAACACACGAGACACGTGTACATTTATACAAAATTATTTAATAGTCCCTTTATTAACGTATTTCATTTGACAAATGTTTTATTTTGTTCTATTTGGACAATTAATTTCTCCTCCAGTTACGTCAATGGAATACGTTCCCGCTTTGAAATGACAAAAAAACTATTAATTATTAATAATCAATATCGAAAAGCTGTTTTCTGTATAGGAAATATGTGTTAATAGCTTTACGCAATATGAGGTTTTATTTTTCTCGGATGATAGACGATGAGATATGTTAAAGTTTGAATGGAGAATTGATTCTCATGACTTATGAAGTGCGTCATTTCAATTATTTATACGTATAGCTTGAGAAAAACTATCATGTCTCGTCCTGTGGGGTTATATATAAAGTTAGAATTCAGTTCAGTATATGGAATTTCAAAAACAAGGGTAGTAGCCATTATGTTTGTCAACAAAATTAAAAAAAAAATTAAAATCAAATCAAAATTTTTACACCTCGCTTACGCTCGATATAAAGATTTAAACACATTATGCCTATCCATGTTTAAATTAGCATACATCGTGACATGAAAGAATTATTTCTTGAATAATATATGGAACTTAAGAACAACAGAGGTATCAGTTGGTTACGTTTCTTAAATAATATATGGAACGTAAGTACAACGGAGGTCACAACCTCATGTAATCGATCAATATCGATGAGAATTTGTATTGGTCATATGATGATTACTCTGTCTTTGAGTAATCAGTGTCTGTTTACAAACATCATCATTGGCTAATCGTCCTTATATATAACTTGTTTTTAATTAGACACATCTTAAGCCATGACTCATATACAATTACTGCATTTATCGATCGTTTGGCTGTTTACGATCAAAATGCTATTGACAACAGTCTGATGTGATGGAATCTCGGTTCCTTAACATGCTTAATGAGGTTACAAATCTTTATTGAAAATGGCGGGAAAACTGCCGCTGGTTAAGTTTTCAAAACTGTTGTTGAACTCATTAGGAAAAATAATGGTGTGGAGCTAATTTTCATACTTAGCGATTAAAAGAGAATAGAAAAAAAATAGTTTTTTGGCAAATTACATCTTATTGAACTAAAGATGATTAATTCCTTAATGAGGTTACAGATCTTTATAGAAAATGACGCAAAAAAAGCCGGTGGTTAAGTTACAAATCTGTTGTTGTTAAACTCATTTTGAAAAGTATCTGTTTAGAGCTAATAGTCGTAACAACAGGTTGAAAGAGAATTGCATGATAACTCTAAACTAAAGGTACTCGAAGTATATTTGAATTTACAAATATACAAGCAGAAGTTTGAAATTATTTTGACTTGGTTTCTATCTCATTGACTTTGTAACACACCTCGTTTGATTCATGTTGAGAAGATAAGAATCCAGCTGGGTCGGATTTTTTTTAACGAATTTTCATTTTTATTTATTTTGTTCTGAGAGGTCAAACAGTAGAAAATAAGTGACGTTTTTTGATACATTAGGATTCGAAGATGTTGCAGAAAATATTTGCCACTGGACGTTGATCACAAAATAATCAATGAAAAATTCAACCAATTCCGTTTGAACATTTCCAGTTGATGTATTTTACAAAGTAACAGAAGGTACAACTGTGACTTACTGGGCTATAGTAGGAAATATATATATTAGCATGAGTTCGAATCCCCGCGAGGGAAGAACAAAAATTTGCTTCCGCAAATTTGCAGATATAACATTGTTGTGCTGATATTTAAAGTAATTATGTATATATATATATATATATATATCGACCACATTTGTATATCTTATAAGTTTGCAAGACATAGTAGCACACACGGTCGTTTTATTTCTGTACCTAAACACAACCTATACTTTTCTACATATACCTGACCTCATTGTTAACCTCTAGATCGATTGATTGTGGGGGAGTTTGTGTATTGATACACGATTAAGATGTTCTTAATTAATGTTCTCGTTAGTCTAACGACGCCATGTCAAAATAAACAGAAACATATTGATCCTATATATATTATTACACAATAATGATAATAAAAACAACCAAACCTTTCAGTGACGGATCAATGGGAAACAATGGCGGTATTTATCCCCCTGTCAGTAAAAAATGAAAACATATTTATAAATTTCATGCGTCCGAAGCACTTTTCTGGATTTACCTTCATCAGGAACGCTCAAAGTCAAATAATTGAAAGCCAAGAATGTCGTGCATGTATAAGAACCGAAACAGTTGAGATATATCACCAAATAAGGACCTGAAAAATAATAGCCAAATCCATCTAAGGTAAACTTTGCCTGAGGGAGTTGAAACCTCAGCTGAGACGGCATTATTGCGAAAGTGGCAGTAATTGCTAAAGCGTCAATCAATACCAAATGAAAACTGCTTATTAAAACATGCCTTAAAACTGTGTAATTTTCGTTTTTGTATATGCTATCATTTAATGCACAGATTTACCAAAACATGTAAAAATTGCAATATTCATTGAAAATTGTCTTACAACAATGTATAGCATAGCATACCATTTTCATGTAATGTTTATGTATGATTTTGCTGGAAACATTTTCTATTATATATTATTTAGACTTTCTAATATAAGTATAATTTTTACCATATTGTTTGTTGTTTAAAATGATGCCTGATGCAAATTGTACTGTCACGGCTTCTTGTGAGCCCTTGGAATGGAAAAATAAAAAAAAATCTTTAAGCGATCCACAGTTGTAGCGCGATTAGCATCTAGTAAAGATTTCCACTCAAACCGGTGCTAGGTGTTGTATTGGATTTGTAGTGAAGTGAAAGTGTTTGTCCCATGCTAACGGTCTCACTGACTTTCAGATGAATATGTTCCTTTGATTTTACTTTTCATGTCTGTGTGAAGTTATTTTGTGTCAAATTGATACACAATATCTTTTCTTTTCTCTTTCAATAAAACGTTCGTTAAGA